AACACTCACTATCAGTGATGGAAACAAATAAGCATTTTCGAAGGATACGATGATCCTTTGAAAGTGGCAATATCGGCCATTTCATTACTCAAAAAAAAGAAGTTTCAGTCGATGTACCTGGAAGGATTCGTTCATAATGAATGTGCGTCTGTGCGAAGAGCTGATAACTGCTGCACGGTTTAAAAAAGATCCACGTAGATGAAAATATGTTGCAATACACTTGGACAAACTAGATGATCATGGACGACAAGATTATAGCTAAATCAAGAATAATCCTTGGCGGTAAATCAGATTTGAGGATGTAGAAACAGATTAGACACAGATTAATGTCAGCGGCAGTAACTTTGAAACAAATAAGTCGCTCATATGATATGCATCCAATAAAGCTTGCATCTGGCTGCGTATTTGCATTCTAGATATTGGTTTGGATGTGTGTCAATGCTGTTGAAGATGATGCTACTATATATGTGTGTGCGTGCTAATGTTTACGTCATGGCAATTTAACACACACACCTGTGCATCTTATGATCTCAGCAGTAGAATCCTTTCTGCTTTAGATAAACAATTTATTCATGTTCAAAACATATTATGCCATAAATTACACTAACGCAATCGTCTAATGCTCTTGTATGCAAATTGTTTCGATTGAATCTAACGAAATGGATTCACCTAATTTAAGATAAACATTCTGAATAATTAACATCCGTAAACAGCTACTTAAAGATGATGAGTGTGTGGTTGCTTTGACAACTATATTTGTGGGCACGTAGTGATGCACGCATTGATTGGCAGATGTTACGGCACCTAGTTTCATCATCGCGGCAATAATATAGGCCGAATGATGGACAACACGACTTGAAGCCGTACGAGAGAGATTATCAGCAAGATTATTTACGAAACAATATCACCAAGCCACAACTTGGTGGTAATTTTACATCGTAATCTTTTTGATTATGGGCGCTTGTGAATATTAATCACAAAGAAAATGTTCTACAGCTGATGAGTGGAATATAGTTAATGGTTCATATAAAGTTGATTCATTCTCACAGTTATACATAGCTAACGATTCGAGGAAGCCTTACTGGATCTGTGTATAATTCGTTGGTTTGCTCATCAAAGTTGTGAATCAGCTGAGCGGAATTACAGCAATGAACTGAATGGTTTGAATAGAACAGTGCTCCACTACCACTTTTGATGATCTGGCAGGCTGCCGTTANGTTGACGAGTGTTGACAGCCGATGTCAACAATACAACAGTCGAATACTATTGCTCAACAACGTTCGACAGTCAAGTGTTCAATTGTAGAGTATATTTGATAGAATGAGAATCTGACTTCACTTGTTGAGTGAAATGAATGAGAAATTAGCAAAAGAGAACACTTTCGGTGATAAAAGCTATGAGAGCGATTGTGGCAGCAAGAAAAAGAATGAAAACCCTGTTAAAACAAATGAAAACCCTGTCAGGCCTCGACAAGCTAATGATACAATCAGAAAATAGGAGAATGAAGTGTGTTGCTATCAGCTAACCGCATTTACATACCCGAGTTAAAAAACACCATCCATTGAATGAGGTAATGGAGCACTTGAGTGCGGGAACCACTGTATTAGGAGATTTCATCATTACACTGTTCTGTAGTGTTGGTGGTTAGTTATTTGGGATGAAACGGATGTGAATTCTACATTGGAACGTTGGTCAGCAGTTTTCTTACATCACGGATATCTGATCATAAGAGAAACTGACGGTTTGGTCACGACTTTTCTTCTATTATTAAGCTCTTCGTGTTTTATCGCGCTGCTCAACAATTCACTCCGTTCTTCAGTTTGCTTAAATGTTTACTCTGTAATCATCGAGCGTTTTACAGTAGAGCTTCGCCTTGAAACGCTGGGTTGACTGACGTGAGATCATGTGCACACGACCAGATAACAACATATCTTCAATCTGCTTGCCCATATCACCTTTGGTGATCCCATCAAAAACATCATCAATGCTCAAAAGGTCTTCGTCACGCGAATCGCTGCTCTCACCAACTGCAATTAATGCAAATTCCAATGAATGACAGATTTTTGGTGACTTATTTTAAAAGTATTTTCGTCCCGTTTCGTGAAGAATTCACATAAACTTCTCAGAATCAGGCTGGGAATAATTTGTGTCCTAGTATACGTGAATTACATCAAGATAACCGTTTTGATTAGAAGAAACAAAATCTTGCTACCTATGATATAGGACATCATGTTATGACAAAGTTTTGCCCAAGCGATTGTTTTTCAGGCTGATTTGGATTTTGTTCTAAAATCAGCCGCATTGTTGGGATGATTAATCAAAATAAGTGATGAGATTTTGTGAGAATATAATGAAATCAGCTGAAAGGCAAGCAACAATGGTGACATCAATGAAAGTCTTCGTAGAAAACATACGTGACTGGGTGATTCGTTCGGAGGACTCTTGCTTGTTGCTGCTTGACATGGAAAATGTCTCAAAAGGAATACAGATGTGAACTCACTTAACGAAGCGTTTATGTAGAACATTTCATTGAGAATATGAAAGGTATACTTTAGAGCTTATATTCATTATGCTTATCACTATGGAGATCAAATCCTATCCGGATGAGACAGTCGAATTAATATCACATTAAGAAAATTAAATTTGCAATTCACTGAAATCAAAATGCGTGACTAGTTTGGCGATATCATGTGATGTACTGTGAAATATTCCGATTCTGTTATCTTTAAACATCTGATCGATGAAATGAAAAAAACATCGCTGTCTAGAAGTGAAGATATCATATTCGATTAACTCATCAATAATTTTTCAATATCGTCTTTCATTAGTGTTTTTCTGCAAAGGGTGCATAAAGTATTGAATGATGTGATTCGAACGTTGTTATTTTTCCTTGCTGATGGATTGGAAACGAAACGGAAAATACCTAGAAATTACGTTTTAGTTGAGGAAGAAAAAAAAATAGCGGTGACCGTCAAAAATGCACTGCAACGGAGGATTCCACTGGTGACGAATGCGAACTTTTTGCATGCATGCAGAACTCGGTTTAATGCACATTTACGCCGAACCTCTAGCTGTGTGATTAATTTCATGGCAATGTTGGCCCACATAAAAACTTTTTCATCTTGCCACTAATGTGCCACAGTGTTCCGAGAATCTCGTGAGCATGATGGTGTCTCGTAAGCACTGATTGTGCTACGAGCACGGTAAGAGTGTACAGCTAAACTTAATTCAAAACCTCAATTCATCAGTGAAATTGCGTTGATGGACAATCACTGAAGATCAGAACTAGCGAATTGATCGCTGTCACTGAGAGTATTGATGAAATGCTCAAGTATTTCTATAAACTCGTTTGTTTCAGAAACGAGAACTGCAATAAACGGGTATTCTTAATTCTATGAGTGCTGTTTCGCACAAAAAATGCAAATTGCAAAAAATCGTTGAATCAATACAAACAAATAGCAACAAAGAGTTTATGAATCGTCATTTGCAATAGAAACATTCAGAGGTAACAATGCAAATTCGTTGAAAATCATAATTTTTGCTTTCATTCTTCAAACTGCATTTTGTTTAATATTCGTTGTTCCTTTCTCATTTTTTATCGGTCCAATCACTTTATTCATATTTTCGTCTTCTACGGCGGTATTCATTGACCAGGTGTTCAAATCTATTGTGTCGTTAATCGATTCCTACAATGGATCATATTCTTGTCCTGTTTTCGTGTTAACATTTGACCATGCGTAAACTGCTCAATAGTATGGCCATAACTGGTTGAATTGTAAGTGAATTATGAAGTGAACTACAAACCGATATTCTTTTGAAAAATATTCTGAAGTGAAATCAACACATTCACATACCAAATCTGATCGATGGAACAGATATTTTTTCTCTTTCGTTTCAGGTTGTTTTATGGGTATCGGACTCTCTTCAACAATTTCCTTTTTTGAATCTCGTGACGATGCCTGTATATCGATAATAAATTTCTCACACCTAGACCGGACGAATTTTTCTAAACTGAATTTAAAATTTTTTGCTGAACAAATTGCGATCGATTCCAAAAATTTTGTTTTACGTATACTTTTTATGCTT